TGGCACAAGAAGTATTATACCAAACTATCTGTGTAGTGTAACTTACTACTACGCGTGTCCGTTGTTGTACTAGTAAAAAAGTATGAGTCAGAAAAACATATCCCACCAAAAACATTTTTATTTAAAATGTTGCAAAGCCATAAGACTCTACAAGGCCTAATTTCAAAAACTACACCTTAGCCAAAATATGATACTATAAGTCACCTTACGACCAGGTCAATGTAGCGAATTGGCAAGACCAAGTGACAATAGCGTGACATCAAACAAAATTCTCGGTTTTTTTTATCTGGTATTATCCAAACCCAAGTTATAAGGGTTCAAAAACGACGAAGCACTACAAGAAAATATAGGTCGTGCCTATTATGTATTCTGCCCTTACACTTCATTTGGCTCATCTATTCTTCTTGGTGGGGTCACACCATGCCCCAGATTTTGAAGGCATCTGACCGACCTCTTTTGTTGAACTTAACATGATTTGTCCATTTTTTAACAAATACCTTACAATAATAAATTGATTTCATTGCTTTTGCATTATACATAGAAAACATACGATATATTTATCATTGCTAGTTTAGCACGGAAATTTCGTTTCACATATCCAGTATTATTATATTAGAATTCTCGTAATCTTATTAATATGAAAACCCGGACGTAACTGCGACCTAAAAGTTCTATTGTGATTCACCACCAAATCAAAGTATCCCTTATCCCCGCGGCTTTGAAGAAACCCCAAACATCCTAGCTTTTAGAGATTTGATCTCGTGCGAACAAACTATTTGTTGTCCCATATTGGTATTACATTCGTGGAGATTCGAGATGTTTAGGTCTTTCAAGCTCTGTCTTATAGTTGATATGATTAGCTTAAAATGATCTTAATTGTAACACCTTTTAGGGATAAAATTTGCAATATTGTATTTGTTCAAAATTATTCTCATAAATTGCTTGTTAAACATTCTCCAGTAGCCTCATAAGAAAAATAAGTATTGAAAAAGTGCTTGTAGTTTCGGCTTTGTTGATACTTTTATTTAAATTAAACGATTTTTCCGGGGTATACGCAAACTACCACTGGTTCCAAAATTGGGAGACCTTTCTAAGAACAACTGGCAAAACAAACTCAGAGAGGGAGATACAAAGCCTCTCTGAGTTTGTTTCGCCGGTTCTTCTTAGAAAGGTCTCCCAATTTTGGAACCGGTGGTAGTTTACGGTAGTTAGGGTCAAATTAATAAACTCAAAATTATGAAAAAGTAATTAAATAAATTACTTTATTAATTAAATTAGCTAATAAATTCAAGCATAGACAATAAAGTTTTAAAAATCTTCCAATGAAATATCCGAACGCTGAATAAAAGTATTTCGAAGGTAGCTCAACAGAATAAATAAAAAAAAAATATTATTTCTGAAGACGCAGTCCTGAAAAGGCTGCGAAACGTCAGATAAATAAATTCAGTGCTTATAACCTGTAAAAATTGTTTTATTTAATGAGTGATATGCGCGTGAAAACCTAAGAAACAAATACTTTTATTTAAGTTATGATGTAACGAGATGTAGAAAAACTGTCTTCTACAATGTTAGATAGCAATTTTTTCCTGAGATTCTATATTATGTGCATATACTTATGTACTTCCGGCTTTGTTTACAGCAATACGGATTGTCATAAGATGTGCGACACGACAAGTGTCTCCAACAACTTTATGGGTGCCTGGTAGTTTCTGGGGTTTTAAATAAGAGTTTTACTGTCTCCCATACGTTTTATTTTAAGAGGGCGCGCCATTAAACTCCGTAACGTATTGGGTCGTTCCTGGGAATGGTCAAGGCATTTGGTTCCTCATTTGATTGCTTAGGTAACAGGGTTTGCACGTGAATTCTTTACACGATTCATTTGCGATTGTTGAAGTGCTTGCAACGAACTTGGACGCAGTCCAAAGGTATCTTCTGCGACCAAGGTTGCGACCACGCCCTCGATTGACCATGGTCTAGTGCGCGAAGTGCATAAGGGGCTTTCATCTGGCATCCGTCTGGATGGCATCTACAGATATTTTATTAATTTCAAATTACAATAATCGATATAGTTAAAGTTGAGTAATGTAGCCTTTTCCCCACATAACTTTTATCTCGTGAACCGTAAATATTTAAAGGTTTTCTTCGTCGAGAAATGGCGGCGTTATCTTCGTGATCTTGTGTAGAACTTATGAAAATCTAATAATTTGCCTTTATGCATGCAGTCTCATTTTGCTGTGACTGAGTTTATAGGTCCATAAAATTTTATCTGTTCTCCAAGTTTATTCGATTGATAGAAAGATTTGACTAATATTTTCAATGTGGACATAATGGTGCTGTAAAATTCGTAGGTGTGATTTCAGTCACAGGTTAAGTCATCCGAACTCTCAAATATTTAAAAGTGTCCGAGCTTTATCTTGTAACCTTTATATTTTTAGTATAAATATAACACTTGTGACTAGGCTTATTTTTGTACGTATTTTATGTAAATAATACGCCATACAAGCATATGGTTTGCCTGAAGGTAAGCGGCCACCATATCCTAGTAGAGATTTGCGATACCAGAGAATCACTGGTGTGTCGGTGACCTTGACACTCGTAACAACGGATGGCGCACTGGCGCGCTGCACTCAAAATAAAAGACACCTACATTACGCTAATGAGGAAATTGGGAGGATAACACATCATATATACATTGGTCGACGACCATCAGTTGAGACTCTCCCGCCCCCCAATGCAACGGCCAACTAGAGTCGAGGTCCGAGTCAGAGACGCCTTCTAGTTGAGCTGTATCCCCCCCACCCCCAAGTTCCAAGTGGTCTAGACTAGACTAGGGTCTCCAGACGGAGTGGAGACTCCATCCGCCTGAGGGGAGATGCTGGCCGCCTTGTATACTTCTAGAGGCACTCGCCAGTTCTCGGCTTCAGGTCCGACGCACCGTCCACAAACCCGGAGACGCTGTAAAGGTCATCTGAGACCCACAGCACACACACACACAGTAAAAAAAACAGTCGGGTCAGGGCCCCCGAGCATACAACACAAGCTCGGTGGAAAATCTTCCCCTTTAGCCTTCCTACACTGGCATTGATGACTATAAAGTTAGAGTAAGATGGCTGATGATGAAAAGATGACAACATATCGAAAGGCAACTTTAAGAGAACAGGCCTCCTCATTTTTTATTGTCTTCCATCATATCCTACTTTCTACTATCTTATATATAAAAGGACATTGCTCGTTCCCCATACATTAAATGCCCTATAACGCCCAGCAATGAGAAAATGCTAGTTGTGTTCGGAATCATTCATAAACTCTAATTAAGCATTTGTTGAGATACGGACAACTTGAGGAACCGTGGCCTACTACAGAATGTATTAGATTTTGAGGTTATAATTATTATACTTAATCGTAAAAGATGTACACTTTATATATTCTGAATAGATTTAGTTTTTACCTCTATGTAAGCACTGAAATAATATGCATTAAATGAACATAAAATGCGATTAATAATAAAAATAATAAATGCTTATATTCATATTGATTTATGAGTGTTGTCAGTTGGCACCTATGATACCTACACCTACCTGTAGTAGGTAATAATAGATTTATTTGTTTCTTAGGTTTTCACGCATATCACTCATTAAATAAAACTAGTTTTTACGGGTTAATGTTCGTGCATTTATTTATTTATTCAATAATAAATAAATGTTTCGTAGCCTTTACAGGCTATTAATTTTATTTTTGTTTTTAAAAAAAATAAAAGTTTTATTCTGACGACGAAGCCTGTAAAGGCTACGAAACGTCAATAAATAAATAAAGTTTCGTGCATTAACCCGTAAAAACTAGATTTATTTAATAATATATTTCTTTTCAAATGAAATGTTCAGTCTTTCCATTTACCTGTTTCTATATTTTACTATCGGTAATTAGGTATGTCCCTGGTTATCAATATGATTTTCATAAAAATAAACAGATATTACATGGGATGGGAGTATAAACTATATTTACATAATTTCAGAAATAATCTTTTTATAAATATAATATAAATACTAGTAATAACTATTATTGACTAAGGTACCTAGTTCTATTTTTATGTTGATAAATACCTATGGTCGCCTATATTGCATTTATTAAGGTAAACAATCTTGGCACAACTTTTTAACAGAATCCCCCTTTTAATAATAAAATATTAACGAAGCCAATAAACTATTAAAATAAATCGTTATTATAGACTGAAACCTATTGAATCTAGTTATCAGTTGATTTTTAATGCTGTATTTTCAATAAAAAGGAGTGCCAAGTTGGATGAACAGACTGTAGTATCTAGTAACAGAACTGTTATTTTTTATTTTCTTAAACAGATTGTCCGTTTACAATGATTAATTGCTAATAAGCTAAAAAAATAATATAAAAATAATAGTGAAGGACATTCTTTTGGGCATGCTAGGGCTGATTTCGTCGATGTCCTTTTCGTGTCACAATGTTAGTTACCATACTCCTCAGAAACCACTTGACCGATTTTCGTGTAATTTAACATGCATATTCAGAAGGTCAAAAAATCGGCTACTATCTATTTTTAATACCCTCAAGTGATAAGGATTGTCCGCTCCTAACATATGTTTAACATTTTGTGTTTTTTTTTTATTGTTTTTTTGTAATGTGGCGTTAAAAATACATAGAAACCTAAATTTTCACCCTTCTACCACCCATATTTTTATGGCGATATGAAGTTCGGTGGGTCAGCTAGTAATATTAAAAAAGTTTCAAATTTATATGAGATAATAGAAAGTTTGTATATTTTTTAATCGATCGAGCAAAAACTACTGAACGAATTTGGATGAAATTTGCTAGGCATGTAGTTTATTATCTGGATTGAGACAAAGGATACTACTTATCCCGGGAAAGTTTTAGCTCCTTGAGGAATTTTCAAAAACCAAAGTTAACATGGACGATGTCGCGGGCGACCGCTAGTATTGAAATAAAAAAAAACCTTTCTCTTGTTCTAGACCATCATGTGGCTGCTACTTCTTCTCTTCATGGTGCCAGTACTATGTCAGCAGCAATGGGTTCCGTGTTACGAGCTCAACGATGACCTACGGTACCCCTGTCGATGCCGGGTGCAAGTGGACCGGAGCCTACAGCTCAGGATCTTGATGAACTGCGACCGAGTGGTCTTCCCCGGTGACTACCCTACCTTGCCTTATGGAGCACCCATCATAGCCTTCAGCCAGAGATGGTCTGGACAACAGATTTTACCGACGCAGGTTAGTACAAAACCTAAAATTTCTATTAGTATGACCGTATTAATAACATCCATACTTATAGTATAAATTCGAAAAAGAGAGCTTACTATGGTTCACCAGTCCAGTTGGTTCAAATAATATAGCTGCATTGTTTAATTACTATAACCTCCATAGCAATTTGATAGTTCTCATGTTCAAAGACATAGTGTATACAGAACGTAGACATTTCTGTACAGTATTTAAATACCTACTTAATAAGGGTTGACTTACGCATCTTCTTCATTTTGTTTCGGTACCGAATCTGTACAGATTCTTTACCGAGAGAAACGGTGCGGTATCGTTTCGTTTTCTTTGCTACAGTTTGGTTTGCGGGAGTGGCAGGATGAGCGAGCCGAACGGTACAGAGGGCCGTGTATCCACTCTGTAAATATTCTATACCGAAATAACTCAGTGGGGAAGCTCTCATTTATTTATTTTTATATGCATTGTAAATAATCTGTACAAATTCGGTACAGAAAGGAAAACGAAACAAGCTCGCACCGATCCGGCGACAAAGGCGCCTAATTCAAATTGAATTCAAATCAACTATTTCAGAACTAGGTTCCATAGTGTTATTGGCATTTGATATAATGTACTTACTAGCTGTGCCCCGCGGTGCTAGCCGCAGTTTAATTTGTTAGGGATATTTTCCCGCAGTAAAACGTAGCCTAAGTTTTAAGTAACCAGGGTGTCAGCTAACTCCATACAAAATTTTATTAAATCGCTCCAGCCGTTTAGACGTGAAGAAGTAACAAACATACACACCCACAAACTTTCGCCTTTATAATATTAGTGTGATAAACGTGGTACTTTATAATAATAATCAATATTTCATAGGTTTGAAGTTTCTTTGGATTATGAGGATTATGTGTGTTGGATAGTTGATTGAGTGCTTTTTAATGTACCCACTTAATATTATGAATCAATAATAACCTCGTAACGAAACAGTAAGAGCCGTGCCTCAGAACGAAAAAGTGCAGCCGGATAAGTCCTATATTAGGAATGAAAAATAGATAAAAAATAAAAAGGTATTTGCATACTCATCGACTGTGTTTGTGTGTAATTCTTTTGGTACTAATGGTTTTTGGTTTTTTAATAAACCAACACACTTTAATAATGTTCATTTTAGGCTACCTCATCGACCCGTATTTTTTCAATGGAGTTTCAGGGGATTGTTCAGAGGCAGTTAATATATCAGATTCCAAGTATTTTATATTTGTATAGCTTGTTTTTATAGATATGCGTATCTTTTACAGTAATTATGTGCTTTGCCTCCTCGTATTTCTTGGAAGTAATTATGTGTAATGATACCTCATTAAATTTCTTGTGATCCATAAGGGTATTGATTTAACTCTAATAAAAGGCAAGATTGTTATAATGACGCAGGATATAATACATCAGAAATGGGCATATAGCAAATGTTAGGTGTAGGAGAAATCGATTAAGAGAACGACAGCAATGATCGCGACCGGTCCGATCAGATCCGCTAGTTATCAGATCGTGAAAGATCGCGTGTGTCCGGAAATAGAAATTTATCACGCGCCTGTCCGATCTCTCAATTAACCCTCTAAAACGACATTTTCGACATTTCCGTGAATTCCTCTTTATTGGTATCGTTCACGTATAACTTATTTCAACCTATGTCAATATTGTAACGGTTGATGCCGATATGAATGAAAGGGGATGAGAAATATTCACGTACTTATTCATCGTGAGCAATGGCGATTTCTGTTCAGATAGGTGTGGATGGAATAAAAACATGTAACTTGTAAAAGTTTCTTATTCGACTTTGTACTTACCTACAATATTAAGAAATAGCGATGCCTTGAAATCTAAGAAATGCAATATGAAATTCGACACTCCCGTTAAGATCCCCGTAGTTGCTTGTTCTTTTTGGTTGCTCCATCGTTCATTTTTGCAACCGGATTGTTAACTATATTTTTACCTGTAAAGTATCCAGGAATTTTCTTTTAATAATTTACTAAACATGCAAGATCTTGTACGACTATCCTTGAGTGCACTTATACTCAGAAGTAATGAGGCTATTATACTAATATCATACAATGAAATTATTACCCGAATTTCAAAGATTTGGTCAGTCCCCACATTTTGTTTGAAGTTTTGCGACGGGCACAAAACTGTGTAGTTTTTTGGTACATCGACATTTCATGGGGAGTTAAACATTCCGTTTGTGTCCGCGTTGCGGCTCTGTCTAAGATGAGTCTTTGTTTTCGGAAATCCAAATTAAATTTCACACTGCAACAAAGAATGGAACATAGCTAAAATGCATGTGGGTGGGGATGTTATATCAACGGGTATGCAAAGCTTTTTGCTGAATTGAGAGGATTGTGAGCACAATAGTCCGGTAGATATACTATTAAGATAATGGAGTTCTCTTCCTGCGTCTGTATTCCCCGATACATTTAATGTAGAGATCTTCAAGACAAATAATAGGCATTATTTGAGTTTGCGTGCTCCAGCTTGGAACATATTGTTGCTTAACATTAGGTGAGATTGTGGTCATATGTACTCAAATCTTAAAAAAAAAATTATGAAAAATATGCTCAATGAATCGTACATGTACAAATTATTATGATATATGAAACCACCGAAATTATTTAGACCTTAGGCATAGATACTTTGTAATAGAAAAGCAAGACGAGTGCAGGTTTAAATCAAAGTAAAGTAATCAAATCAAAGTAAATCAAAGACCTACGAAAATAAATGTTCATATATTAGTTAAATGTAGTACCTTTATTATTATTATTTGTGTGAAAGGGGTTAATAAATAAGCCCATGACCCGCGTGATGGTAAGCGGCGCGCGATCGAGAAACGCCGCGCGTCATGTCCAATTGTCCCACTACGGGCCACACGAAGGCCCACAGTCCTGACCATAGAGTAACACGGAAGGGAGTAGCCATAGCGACATTATACTATTCAAATTACTCTACCATTTATTACGAGGGGGGGGGGGGGGTACTCACATATGCAGTGTAACGTACACGCGTAAAAACACAAACACGCCAAATCCTGTACACATGGTAGGTATCGTTTGTATTGTGCTGAGACGCGGTGAAGTACCTCAAGGGTGATCTTGCGGTTCCGACCTTAACAGCGTCGTAAGCACTCGTAAGCCGTGCGGACTGCTTAACGGCTTCTCCGTTTCGCACCCGTGAGACTTGCGAGAGGCTAGGTGTGAGGGCCGTTCGTTTGTGTGCCTTATAAGGGCGCCAACGTCTGTAAATAGAGGTTGTGCCTGCGTAATAAAAAATGGTATCGTTTGTATGCCCAATCCGACAGAGGAGAATTCTGTGTATTCCTCCTGGCCACGTCCGTCGTGTTGTTCTATGACCCTGACCTTTGAATATCAGCGATAGCCACAGACTTCTTTTATGTCAGTTCGATTAAGATGTGTGATTTCATATAAATGTATTGTCTCTCCTCCTTCCTTTGTCACTAATACCTACGTAATATATCCCGAGTGAATAATTATTCTCTTAGGATTCCGACTTTGTTACAATTCAGTCAGATATCTAAATAAGTAGGAAAATTAAATAATTTAGACACTTGTTCCCTGAATACTTGTCTGTTATAAATGCGTTTTGTTACAATAACCTAAAACTATATTAAGCAGATATAAAAATCTCTGATATTTAAAATAATAATTATTTGTTTGTGAATTGTTATCGATACGTTTTGATATTTTAAGCATGGAGTCTTCGAATTGTTTAAAAAAAATGCGATTTATTCTTGAGTGCTGTGCATTACCGCAATATGACATACTTACCTATAAAAAATCTACCAAGTGGGAATACCAGTTTTTGGAGCAATACAAGTGTAATTTATATTTATGAACATGCAGTATTTTATCAGTTCATTCGTAGAGATAATAAGATTCATAACGAATATAACTGCAGCGTCTTTGATTATATAAATCAAAGGGCAGTTTTTATGCTCCATTTCATAATTGTAGCAGTAAATGTACCCATGCTGCTATAGGAAATGCAAAATAATTGTGAACGCTGCAGTTTTGATAAATTTATGAGCACACTTAACTCCATTATAATTATATGATGTGTGAAAATTAATCAGTTTAAGCAGCACCATTAACGGTGCAAATCAATGGTTCATTCAGTACGACGCCCACTGGGCCATCGAATTACGAATTTGTAAGATTCACAAATAATTAAATCATCATCAAATAGGTATGTCCCCACAAATCTTTTGAAGATAGTATATGAAACGATAAAAACAATTACGGTTACGAGCATAATTACTTTCTCAATAGGTACTCGTAAATGTAAATATAAGGTGTCATAAAATTAGAGCGAAGTACCTAATACAATGTGCACGAAATATCTCCTTTGTAATGGTTTAATGTGCTTTAAAAGCGGTAAAACTCTTAGGTACTAGATTTTATTGAAGCGCAGATATTAAACGTTACCATAATGGGTGATAAAACTCAATTAATTTTGTGCGGTGTTACCGACTACTGGGTATATTTTGATTAATATATTATTATACCGTAAATTGTCGGATACAGTTACCATAGCTTTATTTTTGACTCAGTCACTTGTACTGGAGTATGCTAAATTAAGGATATTCAACTTAACTCAACTCAAAATTATTTATTCAGTCTAGGCTGTTAAAAGCTCTTGTGAACGTCAACTTTATGCCATCGGTTCGTAAATCCACGGCGGGAGACCTTGTACTGAGATGAACCAGCAAGATACTCAGGGCAAATTTTTCTTCCTGTTTTATTTCATACAGTGTCTTCAATTGAAAGATTACATCAAAACTTGAAAACATGTATCGATTTCAAGTTCCATCACATTCTTACCTATAATAACGATATATGATCCAGAATATTCATATTATAAATTATAATATAAATCTAATAAAGTTAATCAATACTTGTAATAAGATTTAATGACTGTGTTTTTTTTGCCATTCATAAAACAAAATAATTAAAATTCGACACAGTGAAGAACGAGAATACAAATTATGCATTAATAGTTTTACCATCATTTCGAGGAATCCTTGATAACAAATCTTTAGGATCTACTCGAACAACACTTGAACGACAAATAATTTCTCAGTATTGTCTCTCGCGCATCAGATAATATATGCCGGATCGTGAGTTTGTGAACTCCTTGTCTCAAAGCCCCGCCATTCAGACTGAGATCGAGTAACTTTGACAATCGCTTCGAGTTTTGACGGCCGAACCGTAGCATAATGGAAATGGAGTCAGTATGTAATTCTATCTGTGTTAAAGGAATAAGTCTTCAAGGAATATTTCTATAAGCTCAGTGTTACCAGATCTGAAACCGGAAAATTACCGGCTGAACACATAAGTCAGAATAGCCTATTAATGTCACCACTGCTGGGGCACGGGCCTTCCTTATGGATGGAATAGGGAGATTAGGCCATGACCTACCACGCGGGCCCAGTACGGATTGGCGGGTGCTAATGACTGCAGATGCAGCCTGAAACAACGGCTTAACGTGCCTTCCGAAGCACGGAGGAACTCGAGATAGAAGATTCTTGGTCACCCATCCAATGAACCGACCGCCGCGAAAGTTACTGAACTTCAAAGATCGCAGCCGAACGCGCTAACCACCCGCGCCATCGAGCTCCTCAACACACACACACATATATATATATATATATATATATATATGCTGAGGAGCTATATATATATAGATTACCGCGGAAGAAAATTGGCGAAATTGCCAGGTAGGCCCATGCGCCACCAGCCGGGACCAACGGCCTAACGTGCCTCCCAAAGCACTGAGGAGCTCGAGTTAATAAACTTTGGTGTTATCATAGGTATCTAATTAACATCCAGCCATTGCGCAAGCTGCTTAACTTCACGATCTAACCCACAGGCATAGATCGAAACAGATGACGCAAGTGTATGTACTTCGCGTGGCAACAGGGTCAACTATAGACTTTAAAAAAATGTTTTAATAACAAACATACGACTGGTTTGGATACTTACGGTTTATGCTCCAACATGTTGCCTACAATGACAGACCATGTGTTATAAATTGATCTGACAAAATCTTCTTCATAATTGTACGAGATGTGTAGTGTTCTCGTACCTCTTACGGAAGACCAGAAAACTTGTTTTTGTACGAGAAATCTCGTACGGTTGGCAAACCTATTTGTTCTCGTGAGTACCCAAAATCTGACAGGCTCGGTTACCGTCCAATTTGAAGTACATGCGGCGTCTACTTCAATCTAGGTCTGTGTGGTGCGCTAACCACTTATGCCATTGAGCTTCTCAGGCTTCTCTAAGAGAATATTTTAACCAATAAATAAATAATTAATAATAATAATAATTGTGAATAATTTCTTAAATAATATCATAGTAATTAGAGCTGTTACTTTATCAAATAAGATTCAAATTAAATAGACCATACGTTACTTCTTACACTATGACACCCAGTCGACAGCTGTCGTCTCAACAGTTTTGTTTTGAACGGCCAACCATTATTTATTCGTTGTTCGTTGAGAGGTATTGATAAATGGCCCGGATGGAGTGTTTATGCATTTTTTTGTATTGCCTTTGACCTGCGATAAATTACAAAAGGTGAAATGTTAAAAACAAACCTCCATTGTTCCATTCTCTTTTTCAGGTGAATTTGTGTATTAAAAAAATAATGCAGTTCCGAAACTTGAAAGTAATTGGTCTGTTATATGTTTATTGAGAACTAGCTGATCCAGCGAACTTCGTACCGCCCTAAAAAAATAGGGGTTGTCCAGCGGACAAAATTGTGAATCTAAACCATTCTCAGATCCCCTTGAACACACACAAAAAATTTCATCAAAATCGGTCCAGTCGTTTAAGAGAAGTTCAGTGACATACACACTCACAGAAGAATTATATATATATAAAGATAAAACAAGTGCTCATTATGAACAGAAACGTAATTCTAAATAAATGCATAATATGATATACACGCTAGCTCTCCAGCTATAATATAAATGTTATTTCGTATAGCCGTAACCCATAGCCTAATATACGATATCGCAATTTGATTGAGCGTACCCTGAATTAAAAATACTTCTATATCCCGAGGAAAGATTCCTTACGGCTGTTTTTCTTAGTTGACGCCCATCATAAGCAAAGACCAAAAACCCTAGCTTTAGTTACTAGTCCTAGTGAACAGATGTATCTATTGCATTCTATCGTAGTTGACCACATTGCAAGCAACGCTCTTTTGTATAGGGAAGTTTATCACTTAAAATATTTTTTTAAAGCATTGCGGAAATCTAGGGCTTAGCGCAATTCAGAACCTCGCGAACCTCCACCTAATCGATTGCCACAGAGAAGACCACAGTATAATAACACTACCTTTTGGTGGTGTTGTATTTCTGTCGATGAGTAAGGTTCTAGGGCTCCACGGGGTAGGGGATAGAGTCAGGCCGCGAGTGATATTTTTTGTATCGCAAGCGTCTAAAAGCTATGGTGGCTGTTGACCATCATTATAAAATAATAAAAAAATCTTAGTCCTATAAAATACACTTGTCAGTGCACATCCTTTATTAAAATATCTATTTACTGAAGAGTACTATCTTAACGTACTCTTTGGTTTATAAATGTTTTTAATAAAATTTTTCTTTCTTTTCCCTTTTCAGATCTTCGCATCATATGGATTACCACTGAAAGAATTGGATTTCTCACACAACAGCCTGCGTAGACTGCCTGACAGGCTCTTGGCGGGAGTTAGAGGAAACATCTCCCGCTTGATTCTCTCTGACAACCTCTTAGGAGACAACTTGAACCCAATATTCTCTACCGCCGAATTTCACAACCTACCAGCCTTAGAGGAGTTAGATCTTAGCGGTAACGGCATCAGAGGCGTTGAGGAGGGACTGCTAATTGGTTGCGATGTACTTAAGGTAAAGGATCATTAAATTCGCAATAATTTAAGACTGTTTCCGTTACTCGAATGCATGTTGGCACTGAGCCAGTTTTGGCATGCATTGTGCTAATGTACACGTAGTCCGTAAGACCCTTAGGCTACCAGATGAATTCACATGATACAGTGATATGAAAGAGCTAAACATATTGTATAGTGATGGTATTGTTGATGGGGACAGACACTATCTCATCATAGAAGGGTTTGACCAGTGTAGGACTGAATATGAAGAACCTTTACAGCGGAATCACATTCTTGGTAAACAGCTACATAGGGCCAATATTACTATTTATATATTAGAAAAATCCAAATACAATGCAACTGCCTCGATGAATCGAAGCCTATTCGATGAGTTGGTAGTCTGTGCCCCAAACATAATTTGGGTTTCTGCTTCAATGAAAAAGTTTCCATTTTTTTAATATATCATTTGTAAAAATTAAAGTAAAATGAAACAAAAAATTGAAAGAATCATTAAAATATCTCTTCAAATGAAAAAGTTATGGGACTTTAAAATAGCACTTGTAACAATAATTTCGTTTAATGCAGGCCAGCGTATGAAGTCACTTCACCTAGTCGGCGCGTATACACTTAGGATGTATAAATTCATTGGCATGCGTTTTATTTATTATAATAATGGCTGAGGCTAAAAAATATGGCTACAAATATTTTATTGTCCCTATGTGTTACGCCAAAGCACGACGGTTAAAACGCCTAATAAATATTTTTTTTGTGTAAATTATCAATTTTAGGTAAATTATCACTTTGTCCTCTTACGAAATCGTCTTCCATTATGTTAAAATAAAAATTACACTACTTATAAATAATCAACAAACAGCTGTACGTAAAATATATACAAGCAGCGCAAGCGATTACCGCTGAAAGAATTGGATTTCTCACACAACAGTCTGCATAGTCTACCTGACAGACTCTTGGCGGGAGTTAGAGGAAACATCTCCCGCTTGATTCTCTCTGACAACCTCTTAGGAGACAACTTGAACCCAATATTTTCCACCGCAGAATTTCATAATCTACCAGCCTTAGAGGAGTTAAGCGCTCTGGTACGACGAAAGGTGAAATGACGGCAGAGGCCAAATCGTTCCGCGCTAAAACACGTAAACTTAAATAATGTGTTTCTAAATAATTTATTGACGGATTCCAAATAATTTTTCACTGATGTATTACTTTCGATCTGTATTTGAATTCTATTAAGATAGCATTATCAACATCATGAAACTTCTCCATTAACAGGGAGTCTATTCAGATAATAGATCTAATGTGTGACGCATGCGACAAAAAATTTAATACCAATAACATAAAGAGTATTGTTGGATGTTCAAAAGCATACATATTATGATCAGAGAGAGACGGACGCCTTTATTGTGTGTATACATAGTAAGTAGGTATGTATGTTCAAAAAACTATAATTACACTATTTCTAGAAAAAAAAATTGAATTAGAACTGTACCATTATTAGGTACCATGAAATCAATAATTAATTTAAAGGTCTTTGTGTACGCTTCTACTATTAAATCCCTAGCAATATCCAACAATTGAGCGTCAATAAATGCTACTACATTTAAATAAAAACATACTAATATAACCTATAAGGTGTCTGATGCTATATTTTAGAAAAAAATGCTAGGATTTACATTGGCCCACAGGTTTCGACAGGCTGTTTCTATAATTATAATAAAGGTGACATAATTTTGTATTGACACCGTAAAAATGTAATAGTTTTGATTTTATTTATTTTTTAAGCATTTAATTGCTAGATGTTTAAATCTAAAGAAAGGTTTACTAGAAAAAAAAAAGCTTAAGGCTAGAAAAATTTCGACGCGGCTAATAGGGCCGTGGTAGCATAATGGTCAGTGCATTCGCCCGGATAGCGAAGGATGCGGGTTCGAGTCCCGTCCGCCGCCTGGTCCGCGTGGATTTTTTTTTCTAATGTAATAGTTTGTTAATATTGTTACATAATTAGGCTGTTAATATTTTTTCGCTCATTTTTCTTTATAGCTAAGAAACGTCCGTAAGGGGCGGGGTGGTAGGGAAAAAATATGGATGATTCAAAGAGATGTATTAGCCCTCCCCCCGTAGGCGCGTTATTATCGGTTGATGATAATGGATGTGTTATTGCGATGTCTGTTTTTAGTATATTATGTATGAGAACGGCTAAGAAGTAACACGCTGCTGTGATAATAACGACGTAATAGAAGTATGAAGAAAAATCGGTTGTCTGTAAAGTCGGTTTACTGACGATAGTTGAACGTTTTTTTACAATGTGCATAGTTTTTACAAGTATGAATGTGCTTTGAGCAATTGTTTTACAACTTTTAAACATGTGTGATATCATTACCTTTATCGCCACAATTATCGTTGCAATAAACAATTGACACCACATTCACTTTTCACTGCACTTCATACTTGACGAAAACATCTAAATGTATTATTGTATAGCAGCTGTCCAAGCGGACGCATCGCTCACTTAAGTAGGAGACAGACAGATGTCGAACGCTGCTGAACGCAGAGGCCAATTGTGCCTCTTTGTCGCTCGTTGCGCGCTCTCGCTTGCACTTCAAGCCTTAAATGGAACGCCTCAGAGCGAGGTAACGCCGCATGAGTCATGTTTTTTCGTGCGTGTAGCCGGCTCCATTTAATTATAAGACGTTGTCACGTCAAAAATCGCAATAGCGCATCCGATATTATCGATCGATAATATTGCGCCTGTGGGCTAGGCTTCCAATTTAAATAACGAATTTTTGACTTTGAAATGTGTTAATATTAATACATCTCAAAGTCATAGGATCTATGAAACGAAACTAGTTTAAGGCCACGCAGTCCAGGCAGCAGACGGTGGTTAGTGCATCCACTCGGATAACGGAAGGTGCGGGTTCGAGTCCCGTCTGCTGCCTTGACCGCGTATAATTTTTCCTAGTAAAATTTGGTTTAAATCTAAACACGTAGCACTCAAATGTATAAAAATATAGTAAACTAGCTCTGAGTGATTTTTGAATCACCAGTATTTTATGGGAAGGTAATGGATATCAAACTTATGGTGTACGTCGTTTTATTGCAGGTATTGCGTCTCGACCGCAATAACATCAACTCGGTGCCGTCCTCTTCCCTGAATGGTCCGCAGTCTCTCAGGGTAATCTCCTTAAGGGAGAATAGAATAGGTAATACCCACTTCCATGTTTTAATTATTTAATTCGATCGAAACGAAAGAGGCTCCAATGGACAGATGCGTTAAGTATATCATGAAATGTTTATAACCACAGAACAGGTGTTTATAACGTTGCAACTCAGGTAACGTTATTGTGAAATTTATAATTACGTAGTGGGTCAGCTCTCTCAACGTAAAAAAAACATTATTTTTAATGTCGCGTGTCTCGATATTATGGATTGTGGATTTATCTATTGATCTTTTGTAATTTCTGGTTAGTTACCGCAGTATACAGTTATTTAAAATAGAAGAATGAAGTTTGAGTATTAATATTTTTATTCAAAAAACGCGCATTCGTAATTTCGCGAGTACAACCTAAATTAACGAACATTTACAGATTATTTTTCGTTGTAACTCAGAAAAACTGATCTTAACTAATGTTAAACTATTTTAATGAATATGGAAACCACACAAAAATTTGGTAGGTTTAATAGAATTCAGTAATTATATTAAAGATATATAAGCCGCTTACTTTAAACAACAACTACTACTGTTTTAAATATTATATAGCTAACCAGAAGTTTTATTTGAAGCAGATTTTTGTATAGAGAAATCAATTAACACTTTGTTCCTTTTATTCAGAGTGCCAGCAACTTCAAAATTAATTGTTGTCCCTAAGTCCGATCGTTAACACGAGATTCATTTTCCAGCTTCAATACGTCAAGCTTCGTTCCTGTCCCAGAAAACTTTGGAGGAAATCGACCTGCACGGAAACATGATATCGAGCATTGAGGGGGGAGCATTTGTCGGTCTTAGCGACTTGCAAATTCTCGATCTCGGAAGGAATCGCCTCTCAAAATTCAATAGCGACGTATTCCAAGGCGTACAAAACTTGGAGAAATTGGACCTCTCTGAGAACTTCATCACGGATTTCCCCACGGTCGCTATGAAATCGTTTGTGGCGCTCCGACACCTGAACCTTTCCAGTAACATGATCACGGTAAGAACTTTTTGGATTCTTACTCCAATTAAATTTGGCACTGGCATCATTTCGCCGCTCATCAGTTGGTCGGAGGAAGCAGTTATGGATACTTGATATTCCCGTTTTAAATCTAGATATACTCGCTTTTTGAATAATGTTTGTCTACAGAGTTCTTTTGTTTATTTGTTGAAGTGAAAACTTCTTATTGAATTTAGGGGGTGAGGGTACTGAGGTTACATGACTTTTAAGCCTGATTCACACGGGGTCAGTTACTGACTCCAAATTCGAGTCAAGTCGGTGCTGACCCAATACGGGCATAATGTCAATTAATCAAGAGACAATAAACAGCACTGACGTCAGTATAATTAACAATAAGTAAGTAGTGCAAGTCAGTCATTCAGACCCTGTATAAATCTACTATTACACTCAGCTATATTTAGATGGATGTGTGTGTGAGTAAAATAAAGGAGTCGTAAATTATGTTACTCACTTTATTTTACAATAAAAACCGCTGCATACAAAAGTACTTCTTAAAATCTTTAAATGGCAAGTTGGTTTTTCGTGAAATCATAAATAACGCGGGCTTTGCTAAGCGAAGAATCGTTTATCTTACAAATGAGTCTTGTAGCTAGAGTAGTCTGAGTATTTTATGAAAGTAATTCGATTTATCCTAGCTATATTGTCTTTTATGCGCTTTTGATTAGGTAGTTATTAGAAACATATCCAATGATTTTGCTCTGAACTGAAATTACCATTACGAAATAACGAGTATTTAGTAACAATTCTGCAACAAGGATCATAAGTTTATTGTTATATGAAAAAGTTCTTTTTATCTATAAGTTGCATTCAGATTTATTTATTACGTGTCATACGAATAAAATTGCGTTCGAGATTAACGAATCATTCGTATGACCAGTGGGGCTTAGACAAAAGGCTTCTATTCGTTTGCACGATTAAATTAAGTTTAAAATTTGAAAATAAGAAATAAACCATTAAAATACCTGTCGTAAGCTTTAAGTATATCAAAGATTATATGGGATTAATAAGGTTGCAATACTTAGAAAAACTGAGTTAATTGCGTTGGCGTTCGCTCCAATAGTAAGTTTGCAGCTTGTTTATGGGTCGTCGTTATGTCGTTATTCTTTGATAAGATATAATTATAAATTTTATTGTTCCAGAACATCGACAATAGTCACCTGAGCTCTTTAGTATCGCTACAAGTATTGGACCTCAGCAGAAACAATTTGATCAAACTCTCTCCTGGAACTTTCGTAGGCCTCACCGAACTAATTTACCTTGAAATCGGCGTTAATTCTCTCCGCACTGTAAGTATATAATATTTTCCTGTTTAACGAAAATTTTGACAAGAAAAAATATCCACTCGGCCAAGGCAAAAAAAGGATTCGAACTTTCACCTTTCGCTATTTGAGCAAATGTAACTCACGAAGTGTTACATCAGAAAGCCAATTTAGTAAAATGACTTTCTGTGTTATACGACTTAAAAGTAAATGACCTACTAGCAAAACGCCTGAAATTTTAAATCGTCATACAAGTAGAACGTCTGAAATGTATAAACGGCATGTTGAGCAAAAAGATTGGTACACTGACGTAGAATTAAATAAACCAATGATAAAAAAAGTAAAAGGTTCACATCCTGTCTAAAGCCTAGACTGGGTGGAAAAAAATCTAGCAAAATTTTGTCTAGATGTACATATCTGGTAGTTAAATTCTTAAAATAACAATACTTATCATTTCCCCCCCTGTATTTTATCACTTTCAGTATGAATTTGTAGTTTTTCGTTGTCACGCGCCACTTTTTGGTTTAGGGCATCAAAAGCACAGTTAGAGTGGTGCAATATCTAGATGGATTACGAAATAAATTGAACACGTTTTGGTATAGTTCTAAACTATATTTCCAGAACTACATAAGAAAGAAAACCGTATAAGTTGATTTAATTTTAAAATAAACAAATAATGTTTATTTGCTTATTCTAAAAATTTATTTACCACTCATTATGTAACATTAGTAATGCAGAATATAAATGAAAAATTGGATTTGATTTATTGACAAACAATATTTTATTATTTTTAATTGGTTTCTTAAACCTATTTTTAATATAACCATGTATTGATTACTATAAGTAAATAAATTAGGCAACGTAACCTTTTGTTTAGTATAATGCTATATATTTTTATTCAATCTATAATTGTTTTAGGTGGAGGATGACGCATTCGATGGGCTCACGAATCTTCAAACGTTGCTGCTTCGTGACAACAACATTCTTCTTATTCCTGCTACAGCACTTTCTCGGCTACCAAACTTAGTTTCAGTGCATTTAGGATTTAATAGAGTCACAGCTCTATCTAGTGATATTCTCAGGGCAGTGTCTGACAGAGTCACATCCCTAGTTTTATCCCGTAATGTGATTAGAGAACTGCCAGCTGCAGCTTTTGATCACTTTAAAATGTTACAACACTTAGACTTGTCAGGAAATCTGTTGAATTTCATTTCAGCCGAGGTGTTCTCGGGTTTAGAATCTTCGCTACAATTTCTGTCTTTGAGCCAAAATAGAATTCTAGGATTTTCTGGTGAACAGCTTAAGTTCGTAAGCCTGTGGTTTTTAGATATATCTGACAACCAACTGTCTGAAATTCCTGTTAATGTCTTCGAATTCATTCCTAGTTTAACTCATTTAAATTTAAGTCATAATGGCCCGATTAATGTATTACCGCAAAATGTATTTAATCACAATCAAGCGTTGTTAAACGTTGACATAAGCTACGTTGGATTGAAAGCACTTCCAGTTAATTTATTCATGAAGACTCCCAACTTGAAACAAATTAATTTATCAAATAACCTCTTACAGGAAATATCTGAAAACACATTTAAAAATTTAAGAAACTTGACCCATCTCGATTTATCGTATAACAATATAGTAAATATAAGAACACCAGCTTTTGTTAATGTGATGTCTATTCAGTACTTGTCCTTAAAGGGAAATCAATTGAATGCATTCAAGGGTGAATTCTTCAACACTGGCACAAGTTTGGAAGTTTTAGACCTCTCCGAAAATCAGTTGAGTTATTTATTCCCGTCTTCATTCAAAATACACCCTCGTTTGCGAGAAATTATACTCACCGACAATGAATTTAATTTCTTCCCGTCCGAACTTATTAGCACTTTGCAATATTTAGAATTAGTAGATTTGTCTGGAAATGCTTTGAAAAACGTAGATGAACTCGACTTTGCTCGTCTTCCTAAACTAAGGACTATTCTGCTGTCACGAAATGAAATCGAGACAATAAGTGAAATGGCTTTTCACAACTCTACGCAAATTCAATATTTAGATATTTCAGACAATAAGATCGATCGGCTTGGTGACAGACTTTTTGAAGGCCTGGTTAGATTGGAGCTTCTTAATTTAGCTGGTAACTCGCTTACGGAATTGCCGGATAACATTTTTGATCGTTCACGTCTGCATATGCTAGAAAAGATAGTTTTGAGTCGAAATTTGTTTGAACATGCGCCTTTAAAAGCTTTACAGAAGCAATATTTCTTTGTGTCTTCTGTAGACTTGTCATATAATAATATTATTGATATTCCAGCTGAAGACAGCGTAATGGTTAATATAAAAAAATTAGACCTCTCATTTAATCCACTATCGGAAAAAACTATCAGTAACGTTCTTACAGAACCAAAGACAGTACGAGAATTAAATCTTGCAGGCGCAGGAATTAAATCAGTAGGGCAATTAGAAACTCCTTTCTTGTATAGTTTGAATCTTTCCTATAATAATATAACTAACTTATCTGAAAAGTCCTTTGTAAGAACAACTTTGCTAGAGTCACTAGATCTCTCCCACAATGAAATCAAAGATGTTGCTGGAGCACTTTCTATATCGTGGCCCAAGCTTAAAAACTTGCAGTTATTGAATATATCTCATAATCCAATACTTATGGTCATGGAAGGAAATTTTGAAGGGCTTTCATCTCTGAGAGTTCTCGATATGAGGCATTTGGATAAATGTAGCAGAATAGAAAAGAACGCTTTTCGTTCACTACCAAACTTAGTCGAATTAAGGGCCTATGGGTATCCAAGATTAGGTTATTTTGATGTGCAAGGTATATTGCAATATGTATTGGCTTTGGAAAAATTAGATGTGGAGGTAAAAGATAACAGTATTGGTGCTGATCAGTTACATTCGACATTGCATCCTCGTCTTGAGGAACTCGGTATACGAGGACCCCGCTTAAAATCCGTGTCTTCTGGAGTTTTGGCGGGATTGAAGGCACCAGCTATAACTGTTCGTTTCCGTAATACATCTATGTCTAGCTTACCACCAGCGATTCTTTTTCCTTTGCCAAGATCATCACAAATAACTATCGATGTAGCAGGAAGCCAGTTGAGCACTTTACAACCTGCTCTTCTGGTGGCTCTTGATGATCGCCGAGCTGATTTATCAATGTTTGGTTTGGAAACGAATCCAATAAAATGTGATTGTAATGCACGAGCTTTACGAAGATGGCTACCTAATGTCGGCATTGACAATGTCCGTTGTGACTCTCCAGATCATCTATCAGGGTTCCTGTTGGTTGAAATAGGAGACGATGAGTTATCGTGTGATACGAGGAAAAGAACCACACTTACATCTTCATCCTCTAGTGTTGTCACTACAACGGCAGCTCCACGACTCGTCCATCGGACGTCCGCTGAGCCCGACATAATCTGGTCAGTCGCTCCATCTCACGATCGACCGAAAGTTGCTGGAGAACCAAAAGGCGCACCAGTAGTTGGTATTGCGTCCTCGACGAATGACGATAATCTTATTATTGGTATTGTTGGCGGTGTGGTGGCGTTTATAGCAATCTTGATCATAGTTATTTGCGTAGTTCGATTGCGGATGACTACAACTTCATACAGGGGCGGTCCTTTGGCTAGTAGTCCTGCTACTGCGGCGCCCTTATGGGGAGCCGCCTGGCCTGGCTATGCTGGCACCCTGCCTCCTGCATCGTTATCTACAGCCACATTGCCACATAAGATACAGTCTGGTCCAGGTTCAGTGCGATATTTAGCACCACCCCCGCCAGCACCCTATTTTATTAGTATGCCACCGCACGACGATAAAATATATCGGTAGAACGTCTTTAGTATTATAAAGACTATGTTAAGGTTAGTTATATTTTGGAATATGCCATTTTCTGTAAATATTGAAACTTCACGAAGAATTTATCATATCAGTTAATAATTCTGTTTATGTCTTGTATGGAGACTTTGAACGCGCTCATATTTCATATCGTTGTAGATATTTAAGTATATTACCTACTCTTATTCATATTATGTATAATAGTTAGAAAAAAGGTTTTTATATCCCCGACTGGATTCAACGTATCTAGTCACCAGTGACAGATTCTCAGGGTAAAAGTAGACATCTCGTATTAAATGACTTAAATATCTTGTAAAATATTTATTTATGGTACATTATTCTAGGTTAAGTTTAATATTATTATAATTCCATTTATTAGTAAATGTAATAACTAGATTATTTGTTTCATTTCCAAACTACCCACATTATAAATTATTCAAAGTACATTGGGCAAAAATTTATGGACGCTGCACCCACGACGGCCACGGCTTAACTTCATTTGTTTGAAGTATTATAGTCATGATAATCTGTACCAAAGCGCATCAAATTCCATCCCGGGGGTCTTTAGTTATTTTAAGTTAAATAGGTACAAGTACTATAACGAACAAACATTAATGAAACAAGGGAATTAATTTAGTTAGTTAGTTCGACCCTACAAAGGGGGCTCAGGTATTATGGGAGTACTGCTCAAGGTGCAAGGGTGCCCCCTTATGTTATTCTGCCGCGATAGAGTAAATTCAAAAATCCCCACATGTGTTGGGGTTTTTTCAAACATTCTGTTCCTTATAGTAAATGTTTTTCTATGTAAAATGGAGCGACCACAAATCACACAAACTTGTCCACGCTTTGGAGAAAACATGATTCCAGTTCATCCATACTAATTGACAAAAAAAGTGTATCAATGTCCAAAGCGTGTTAGATAAAAATCAATCAAGTGACAGGGAACGCACAATCACAACGAATTAAGCCGAGTCGACTATTTCCAACTGCAAGTCCATCAACTCCCGTACACCGTTTTCAGGTGTCTCAGTAAGTGCAAGCGCGGGATGGTCGGCAGGCTTTGCATTTATCTGGTTGCATAGTACGGTATGGTATATTATTATGGTTATTAATAATATAAAATGAATTTATTAAGCTACTTAAGTCTGCCCATGTGTGATATGTTTTGATTACCAGGATATTTTTTACGGTGTCATAATAAAAAAGGCTAGTTTATCATAGATCTATCTATTCATACTAATTACATTATTGGCGGAGCTGGGTGTGTTTTGCCCAATGTCCTTTATCTGCGATAAATAAATGAACATGATGTACAGCTACAGGGAGTCTAGCATGAACCAATATCGAATTCGTATACTTGCAAGTCCGAAATGTCATTGTCAAATGTGTACTGATTTTAAGTTCTCGTTACGCACTTTGTGCCGCTGCTGTTCAAGTTTCCATACAAAATTTGACACTAACATTTCGGTTTGCAAACTATTCGAATTCGATAATGGTTCGTGCTAGGGGTACAAATTTACCAATACATATATAATATGATGTATATGCCACACAGAATGAAACTTAGAAAATAAAGGTTTTACAGATTTATTTTTATTATTTTTTTTAACAATAATTAAAAACCGATTTCATAAAAACAAAACCACAATAAATAATAAGAAATAATATATATCCTTACCATAAGTCTAAAGTTACTTTAAAGTCAAATTAATATTTGGTGTCTTTTAATAAATATTGTTTGAAAAAATGACAAAAAAGTTTATTGTTATTTCATTCCTGTCAACATATTTACAAAATTATAGTGAAAATAATATTTATTTAATATTATTTTGCTTTCGCCCTTTATTTTTAATAGTCTGTATTTTAATAGCAGGAAAAACCGGACCGGAAAAGCCCAATTTGAGTGAATTCTGTATTAGTCACAACGTTTGTAAAAGCCTTTGTTTATGATCACGAAATTTGCACAAAATCCCTACGCGTGTCATTTTTTCGAGCGTAAATGGTTCTCGCTCACAATGTTTTAAAAACTGGCCATCACTGCCCAACAGTCAAGCGAGGTATATGAATTCTACATAAACGGTTTTCATTTCGCCACAGTTCTATTGGTTATATTCCGTATATAAATGTGTGGATGTGATAAGGTTCAACCAACATCAGAAAATCTTGATCGATATCTATATGGTATATTAGGTATCTATACATTATTTACATTAGGTAACTGGTAACTTAAAACAAGCAACAATAGTAATAAAGTAAAATGTGTAATATAATGAAGAGTAGAAACTTTTTAGCAAAATAATAACAGTACCCACGTATAGTAGCAAAGTGGATTCCCGAATTACGTGGGGATAAATGAATAGATAGAGTTTATCCCATTCCAATACAATGCGAAATAACAGTACGAATGGTAATATGAGTAAAGTTGAATATTCGAATAATAGACCAAATAGGCAGTTACAGACAGAAACGGATTTCCACAAGGCGATACCGTGTTTTTATTTTGATCACACTGGCTTGCAAGCGATTTGAAAAATTGAATTTGGTCGGCCATTGCTCTGGAATGATTTGAATGAACGGTATTTATGTGCATCTATTGTGTGCGAACACGTAGATTTTTGCATTTTGAACGTGTTACATTTTTGCATTGAATAGAATTCAGCTTTCCATTTTGTCTATTTCGGACTTGTTTTTGCTCCTATTCTAAATCTATTTCATTTAGATTGTTTGTTCTTTTTTTTTGTTTGATTGAGTATGCTTTTGATTGCTTAATGTTGTGAAATTTTATAGGTACGCATATTCCGTAGGTCTGAGAATCGGACAACATCTATTTTTCATCCCCCTAAATGTTAAGGAATTGGAATTCGTGAATAAAAATTTTGCTGCAAGTTACAAGAAAATATAAACAAATTCTCCATTACAATCTCTTGACAAATTTACAATATTGTGGTCGGACATCAAATTTTAATAAATAACAAGCTGTCCCATCGAACTTCGTAACGCCATAAAAAAATAGGGGTGGGTGGTAAAAGAGTGAAAATTTTGGGTTGTATGTAGTTTTGTATGCTGTATCATAAAAAATCAAAAACTTTCATTTATATCAGAAAAAAAATAAGGGTGGACGACCCAGTAAAAGCATATACATCAGCGTAACTTGCACGTGCTATATTATTCGAATACATAGGAAACCACAAGATAAACAAGAGGTATCATAACTTAACGTTACATGAAACGAGTGAGCTGTCTTAAACAAATATTAACAATTAATTTGGAACTGTAAGTTTGCTCGTAATCGTAAGTTCCTATATGGCTTAGTATTATATTCGATGTGATAGTTATTTCGGTCGGGATACGAATCAAGTTTCAGTTTAAATTCATTGTTCTCATGACAAATCAGCGTTGTCTACTTTATCTAGCTGCATTATCAAATGTGCTTTTAGCCTACAAATAAAACTTTGTACTGACGACAAAGGATTTTGCTAAAACAACAAAAGTTAATTGTCCCTAGATCTTCTTTTCTTTAGTTCTACCAGCAATCTTCCTTTGTGCCTTAGTCAACTTGACCGTTGCTGCTCTAACAAACTCACTTTTTTCGTATATCTTTTGCTATCCCTGCAAAGTAGCATTGCCGGTTTCGATCCCTGTACGAAACCACAATAAGTAGTACACAATGGAAAAACTGATACTCCTCGTATCTTCGGCCTTTATTATTACATGGTATTCGTATCTTGCCCAGAGTTCTATGCCACCTAGGTGGGGTGCGACGCAAAGAGGTGATGTGAACTCCGTTTTGGATATGTATACCCAAGGAATGATTGAAGCTTCCGGAAGTATATTTTTTTCCATGGTGTACCAATAATTAAGTGTAGTGCAGGAATCGAAACCGGTAGAGTCACTTGGCTGTGGTAGCAAAAGGCATTTTATAACAAAGAGGAAATACTATGAAAAGGTAAAAATGAAAAGATGTATATAGATATTCCAATCACAAACTATTTACGACGACTCCCGTGGCCGTGTGGTTTGTACGCCGGGTTTCAAGGTGTCGCAGGCTCGAGAGGTCCCGGGTTCGAATCCCGGTGAGGACAGATGTTTGTGAGATGGCTATTTAATATGTATTTCTATATAAATGTATATGTTTTCTATATGTATTAGTATGTGTGTTTTATCCGTTACCTTAGTATGGGATATCATAAGCCTACAGTGCGTACTTTGGAGCTAGGATAATTAGTGTGAGTGTTGGAAACATTTATTTATTATTTATCCTCATTTCTCATCTGGTTATCAGAACAGTATCTCTCAATATCGGCTCAAACATCGTTTTTCGAAGTACGCTTACAGTAAGCATTTGCCTCAAGTTCAAGTTGGGTAATAGATAAAAAGGCGGCCAAGTTTGCGTATTCTTCATTCACTGCAACAATAAAATAATTCTTAAATAAAGGTTACATAAAAAAAAATGTTCCTATGAAACTGCCCATCGGTTTTGTTGTATGAAGAGATAAAATAGGATCTAAATATTCTTCGAAAGTACAGTGTAATGTACTTCTGTCGCGATCCTTCCAATTGATTCTGAAACCGTTCACCGACAGTCGATTACTCATCATATTTATCATCTTTTGCCATCAATATGGTCATTACTTTCAGCGTAAAATCATTAGTTATAGATATTTTGACGACCTCCGTGGCCGAGTGCTTTGTGTGCCGGGTTTCATAGTGTCGCCGACTCGAGAGGGTTCGAATCCCGATGGGGGCTGATGTTAGTGTGATGAATACGAGCATTTGTACTCCAGTCATGAATTATTACTTACTTATTTACGACATACTATTAACCATTTTTAGATTAGAAATCGGTAATATAAATAATAAGTACGAGTATATGTATCCCACCTTAATGTCACTGCTAAAGTCTAACTATCAAAGTAACGAAATTTTGAGTCTTAGAAGTTCATATCCTTCTAGTACGTAAGCCAGGGACACGTAGAAAAATATTCTATGATTGTGTTGCATTTCGAATCAAACCTTGTCTGAATTTTAAAGCACGTTCAGATGATAGGCATTTGACTCGCGTTTTGCTAACTCACGTTGCGCGCGTCCAATAAAAACGCGCGTTAGCAGATGCTAACTTTGCTCGTAAACTTAAGTA